GTTCGGGGGAGCCTAGCAAACTCCATGCGACCGTTCGTGTTGTCTGTGTCTGTAACCGCAACTCAAGCAAGTTTTCTAGCCTACACCACGACCATCACTGGTGTAAGTAAACAATCTTTAAATCTACCGCTAAGCGTCTGTGCCTAATTCCAGCTCGTCGCCCTCCCTCTCCGATCCAGCGTGCCCGGGCTGCTGGCCACAGCCCGCGTGCAGCACGGAAAAGGGCCTGGGTCGTGCCCGGCCCGCACATTGCCCTCCCCTGGGCCCTCCAGAGCGCAGCGTGTGCGACCCAGAGTAGCAGCGCAGGGAAGCTGCCTACTGCTGCAAGCTCTGCACTGTCCATGTCACACTTCCCCTGTGTGCACAGGAGCAGCATGGGTATCATACAGGGTCAAGCCCCTTGCTGCTGCCCCTACCTGCAGGGTAAGTGTGGCCAGGGTAGCGGGGAGCTTGGAGCGACAGGCAGCTTTCTACACCCCCTGCTGTGCCCTACTACGTCAGGTTTCACATACTGCTCTGCAGAAGCAGCAGCAAGGGCAGCACAGTAGGGAGCATCGCCGGTATCTGCTGCCTCCCCAGAGCCCAGGGCTGGATCTGGGGTTGGGAGGCAGCAGCTGTTTGTAGCGTCCCAGTTACCCAGGTTCTGGGTAGCTGCTGATAGCCATGGAGCCTGGGCTGCTTGTAGCAGGGCTTCCATCCTCCCAGCCAGCTGTTGGGAGCAGCCCAGGCTCCATGGCTATCAGCTACCATGAACCTGGGCCAGCTGCAACCAGGAGGCTGCAAACAACTGCTGCCTCCTCGCCTCAGCCCTGGCTGTCTCCTGGCCCCAGGCTCCAGGAAGACAGCAGGTGCTGGCATTGCACCTGTTGGGGCCAGGGCTGTGAGCAGCATGGTGCTGGGGCCCACTGGCAGTGAGGGGCTAGGGCTGTGGGGCCAGGGCCACCCAGTAGCATAGGGCTGGAGCCAGGGCCCATGGGCAACAGGGGGCTGGGGCTGGAGCCTGACCATAGGCAGCATGGGGCTGTGGCTGGAGCTGGGGCCAGGTCCTGGTGGCAGCATGGGGTGGGCCCCACAGCAGCATGGGGCTGGGGCTGCAGCCGGGCTGTTGCTAGCACTGGGATGGGGCTGGTGGCAGCACTGGGATGAGGCCAGGGCGGTGGTGGTGCCAGATGGCACTGGGCCTGTGCAGGGCCAGGGCCCACCGGCAGCACATGGCTGGGGCCTTCAGCAACGCCGGGACGGGGCTGGGTCCCACAAAAGTCCACGGCCCCGGCCCCACGTGGGCCACAGCCCCATCCCGACACTGCCAATGGCCCTGACCCAGCGCTGGCACTGGGCCGGGGCCTGCAGCAGCGATGGGGCTGGCTGGGGCTGGGCCCACTGGCAGCATGTGTCCGGGCCTGGGGACTGGGCCCGCAGTGGTGGTGGTGCCAGCTGAGGCCTGCTGACAGCATGTGGCCAGCAGTGTGGGGTTGGGGCCAGGGCCATCGGGGTGCTGACGTGGCTGGGCCTGAGGATGGGGCCCATGGTGGCAGTGGTGCAGGCTGAGGCCTGCTGGTGCCATGTGGCCAGCAATGCAGGGTTGGGGATGGCCCCAGGCCCAGGGCTGGTGCTGGGCTAGGGTTGGGGCCAGGGGCTCTTACCTAGCTGGGGTTGGCAGCATGGTCAGGATGTTCCGGGGCTGGGGTCCGGCGATAGGAAGTCTAACAGCAGGGTTTGGCAGCAGCACAAAGCTGTTCCTAGGAAGCTATGTGCTGCTCAATCTGGGCATGCTGCTTCCCACACAGGAAGCAGCCCACATGCCAATAAAAACAATGCT